TAAAGAAGAACAATTTGAAAAGTGAAACTTACGCCACAAGCACATGTCATGCAAATATCCCCCTACGGCCGTGCTAAATAATACTTCTGGAGTATTTTCAAATTTTGAATGCCTCACAAATAGTGTCTAGTTGGGGAGTATGCTGGCTATTAATTACTCTAGATCTTCCCAACTCAAAGCAAAAAAAAATTGGGTTTTCTATTTCTATGCCCCTCTTCACTTAGTCCTCCTTAGTTTTGCCCAAGCACACTTATTTTGCTCACTTATCCCCTCCACCGCGCACCCACCCTCACCAATGCCCAAACGGGGGTTTGTCGTTGGTCAAGGTAGTTGACTGTTAGCCTACGCTGTTACTGACAAATGGGGCACACCATGCTAGGTGGCGCTCTCACAATCAGCGGTGTGCGTGCATCCACATACATGAGTAGTTACATCACGGTTACGTCGGTGCTTTCACACACGGGCAGTATGCACGGCGTGGTTTCCCATGCAAGGAGCCGTGTCGCTGGCATTCCCGGCAGGCATCTATTAATGCATTTTATAGCCGCGTGGGGGCGCACCGGCGTGCACCCACTCTTGTTCCAATCCCCTCCCCTTGCCGCCCCACAGCCTTCACCACCGTGCACCTCTAGCAAACCCTAGCCACCTCCACCAAACCCTGGCCGCCTCCCCTTCCAGCAGCCGCAACAATGTCCAGGCAGAATGGACGTTGTGCGTATGTCATTCCCGGCCTGCCACGCGCCCTCCGGATCGAAGAAGCGTTGCTCCTCGCCCGCTGTGGCGTCATGGTGTCGCTGGACACACGCCTCCCAGCCAGATGGCACCTGAGCGCTAGGGGGCTCCTGGTGGAGCATGTCCCCACCGTCGGCACGCCGGCCATGTCACGCGCAATACATAACTTTCGGCAAAGCCTGCCGCTGGTGGAGTGGTCGAAGCAGCGCTACACGCTCGGCAGCCAGCGGTGGCCAGAGATCCCGGTGGAGGAGAACGGGGGCCGCATCCAGCACTTCGATGGCTGGTACCCATCGCCATCGCAGCACAACATCGACGAGAGGTACGCCTTCTAGGAAGGGTGTGCCTTCCCCGATGTCATGGCCATGTGCCGCGTCCAGCTCGGTCTGCAAACAGGCGACTGGGTTTCATAGTCGTGGGCCACCGCTCGATCCACGACGGGGGCCACACCCACAACCGGAGGAGGCAGTGCCGGTGCCAGCAGCAGCAGGGGCCTTCGCGTGCCCAAGCCGGAGCTAGCGACGCTAGGGACGAGCTTGCGCGGCCTCCTGCTCATGCCCAAGCCGGAGCTAGGGACGAGGTCGCGCGGGCCCATGCGCATGCCCAAGCCTGATCCCAGGACGAGCTTGCGCGGCCCCCTGCGTGTTTCCAAGTCGGAGCTGGAGCCGCCGCTGCTAGCGGAGTATAGGGGGGCGGTGGACAGTGAATCCGGCGGCCCTGTAGACCTGTTGGGGCTACTTTTGGTGCTGCGCGAATCGACAAAGGCGCCGCAACGCCACCCTAATGACCCAGTGGACTCGTTGGGGCTGCGACAGGCAGTCGTGGCCTCGGTGTCTCACGTCACCATTGACCTTGTGAGTGATGACAACGACGACAAGGACGAGAAGAAGGACAACGATGACGACGAGGACTACTTCAGCGGGAGCAGCGGCTCTGACATGGACGACAATGATCAGTAGCTTTGTTTAGGATGTTTGTACAAATTTTAAACTTTAAATGAAATTTGTGTTGTTTGAATGTCCAATTTGAATGTTTGTATCTATGCATGTTTGAATGTCCAATTTATGCCCTGTTTGCTTGTGTGTGACTAGTGGTCACCCAAATTTCATGAAGATGCAAAAAAAATGGGCGTTTTCAATTGAAAAGTCTCAATTTTGTGAAGATTTTTTCCAGACTTGTTGTATTGCAAGTTTGATATTTTTTCCCATAAACTAGTGCACATAAGATGGCTCAGTGCAAAGGCATTTGAATTTTTGAGCCTTTTTCATTTTCTTTTTTTTCAAATCGGGGTCAAACTCGCAATGTTGACCATTTGTACAAAACGGCTTGGAATTCCCACTTTCCTTGTCCCAAGTTCATCCATCACCAATATTGTACCATAAAATGATTTTCCAAAAAAATCAGGAGCAATCTACATCACACTTGTAGTGCAAATTTGGGCCTTTTCTGATAATTCACTAAAATTCAACTAAATTCATGGAATATAGCAATATTAATCTGAAATTGTTGAAACCTGGTCAATGGCCATCCAATGTGGCCTAATTGTGATGAAAAATGAAATGGAACAAATTTCTAAATTATTTGAGGCACTTCCTTCATAAACAAATGTCATTTCCAGGGCTTGGAAATTGGAGAATTTATTTTTATTACAAAATAATTACAAATTCCTATTAAACATTGTCCAGAATGGTAACACCAGTAGTTGTGCCAAATTTGGGCATGTTATCATGGATTTTGCCATGTATGTGGCAATTTCCATATGCATATGCCTTGAAAATCCACACAAGTCCAATCTGGATAGTCAATTTTGTGAAGATTTTTTCCAGAATTGTTGCATTGCAAGTTTAATGTTTTTCCCATAAACTAGTGCACATAAGATGGCTTAGTGCAAAGGCATTTGAATTTGTGAGCCTTTTTTCATTTTTTTTGTTTTTTTCAAACTGGAGTCAAACTTGCAGTGCTGACCATTCATACAAAATGGTTTGGAATTCCTACTTGGCTTGTCCCAAGTTCATCGACCACCAATATTGTACCATAAAATGATTTTTCAAAAATTTCAGGAGCAATCTACATCACACTTGTAGTGCAAATTTGGGCCTTTTCTAATAATTCACTAAAACTCAACTAAATGCATGAAATATAGCAATATTACACTGAAATTGGTGAAACCCGGTCAATGGTCATCCAATGTAGCATGTTTTTGATGAGAAATGAAATGGAATAGATTTCTAAATTATTTGAAGTACTTCCTTTGCAAACAAATGTCATTTCCTAAGCTTGGAAATTGGAAATTTCATTTTTTTATTACAAAATAATTGCAAATTCCTATGAAACATTGTCCATAATGATAACACCAATAGTTGTGCCAAATTTGGGCATGTTATCATGGATTTTGCCATGTATGTGGCCATTTCCATGTGCATATGCCTTAAAAATCCACACAAGTCCAATCCAAATATAGTCCATTTTCTGAAGTTTTTTTCCAGACTTGTTGTATTGCAGTTTAATATTTTTCCCACAAACTAGTGCACATAAGATGGCTCAGTGCAAAGGCATTTGAATTTTCGAGCCATTTTCATTTTGTTTGTTTTTTCTCAAACTGGTGGCAAACTTGTAGTGTTGACCATTCATACAAGATGGTTTTGAATTCCTACTTGCCTTGTCCCAGGTTCATCCACCGCCAATATTGTACCATAAAATGATTTTTCAAGAATTTCAGGAGCAATCTACATCACACTTGTAGTGCAAATTTGGGCCTTTTCTGATAATTCAATAAAACTCAACTAAATGCATGGAATATAGCAATATTACTCTAAAATTGCTGAAACCTGGTCGGTGCCCATCCAATGTGGCATGCTTTTGATGAAAAAATGAAATGAAACAATTTTCTAAATTATTTGAGGCACTTCCTTTACAAACAAATGTCATTTCTAGGGCTTGGAAATTAGAAAATTGATTTTTTATTACAAAAAAATGTAAATTCCGATGAAACATTGTCCACAATGTGGCCTGCTTTTGATGAAAAATAAAATGAAACAAAATTCAAAATTATTTGAGGCTCTTCCTTCACAAACAAATGATTATTGAGGACTAATCTAATTTCTGTGGCCTACTTTTGTTACTTTGCTTGTCCCAAGTTCATTCACCAAACCAATATTTAGTACTAAACTAATTTGGTTGACTAAAGTGCATCCGTCACACCAAATGGCTTGAACAAAACTATTAACACCCCAATGGTATACTGCATATAGTGAGTAAACGGTTTGTTTTATGCTTCACTTCGTTTAGTGCATAAAATGGTGAGGACTGATTCGAAAGTCATGTACACATACTTGGTCGGTTGGCTCTTGCGCCTCTCTTTGAGCGTCTAGTCTCGGATTCGAGTTCTCATCCTGGCTTAATAAACCACCTCTTTTTCGGGTTGGCGCTCTCCACTAACAAAGGTGTCCCACAAGCCAGTGACTGCGCCCATCACCTATGACCGTGAAGCCACTGACAAAGGTGTCCCACGCGCCAATAACTGTGACCACCACCTACGACCGTGCAGCCACTGACAGAGGTGTCCTAGAAGTCAGAATACGCGCCCACCATCTACGAGCGCGCAACCGCTGACAGAGGTGTCCCACAAGTCAGTATATGCGCCCATCATCTATAAGAGGACAGCCGTTGACAGGGGTGTCCCACGCGTCAGAAACCACGTTTGGGCTTTTGCGAGGGTGAGTCGTACGGTGAAGGGAAACGTGAGAACTGCCATAGAGCGTGGGCAAAACTGAGAAGAACTAAACGAAGAAGGCACGGAACTAGAAATCCCAAAAAAGTTACTCGAAATCTTCTGCAATTGCAGTGTGTCCACACAATCGATTTTGTTTTAGTACAAGCATGCGGGTGATATACATACATATACAGGGACAAAAAAGACATTGGAGATATAAAATTGCCCTTAAACGAAAAAACAAACATGTGCATATGTACAGGTGATAAATTTAGGAGCTCTCTACAGTTGACCATCTCCGTCTTCATCTCTCCCTCGTCAGCTTTGATTTGTTAGTCCAAACTACTTCGTGACACCCTTCTCTGCATACTCTGCCCCAAAGATCTGAGGCCGGTCAGCAGGATTATTGTCCTCGCTCACCAGGATTCAGTTCCTAAAAATGCTAATTATCCGCACGGGTGCTCACGTTCTTCCTCGACGATTTGCAGAGCTCTGCCCTTGTTCCCAAAAATGTTGCGAGTATGTATCCTCTCCGTCTGGTTCATTCGTCATGCTATTATATCGTGAACCTCTTGAGGTCGACCACCATGACGGTGATGTCATCCCTGCTCCCTCTACACCGCGCCATGTCCACGAGCTCCTTGAAGCACCCCGTGGAGTCCCGGCCGGCGCGGCTCCTGGAGACGGCGTCCACCGCCTCCTGGTTGGACACCTTGTTCCAGAGGCCGTCGGAGGCGAGGACGAGGAACTCGCAGCCGGCGGTGAGGGGAAGCCTCCGGATCTCCGGCTCTGGGATCACCCAGCGCTTGAGGTCGGCGTCGCCGAACGCCCGCGACACGGCCAGGCAGTCCTGCACCCTCCACACGCCGTTGCTGCCGCAGCTCACGTAGCCACCCTGAACGAATTTTGGCTGTCAATCAGCTGCCTTTCTTCTCTATGATCGGTGTGACGTTGCGTGCATGCATGAATATATATGTGCACATTTGCGTACCGAGTTCTCGATGCGGGACCTCTCGTCCTCCCTCGCGGCGGTGTGGTCGGAGGTCACGGCAGTCGCCACACCGCCGCGGCACATGACGGCGCGGCAGTCGCCGAGGTTCGCCACGTAGATGTCGCCGTCCTTGACCAGCGCCGTTGCGGCACATGAGCCACCTCTCAGGCCCTGCGTTCACGAGGGACAAACAAAGAGTTAAATCCCTGCAACTCATCATTAACATTTCTACTAGAAAAAAGAAGATACGTTTTTGTCCTCCCAGTTGTTCCTAGTTACAAGTTCCATTTTAACCCCAAATTCAGACACTTTGACCCTTACTTTCAGCGTCAAACGGATTTGAACTCTGAACTGAAAACATTGGTAACATTAACATAGCTGTCAAACGTAGCAATCGCCAGTCACCAGAGGCGACACCTGGGCACCTGGGACACGGCGAAGGGAGCACTCGTACAATCTAAGCCAGCATCTTTCTCTGTCGCAATCATAGCAACGAACAAACCCTAATGGAGTAGTAGTGGACATCGATCGCCATTGTCGGCATGCAACACGCATCGCACAAACAGGAGGAGTCTGCATGTGTTGACGCGTTCAACTCGGCCGGAAGAGACCTGGTAAAAACAAAAGTACACACCTGCTTCACGAGCTCGCTGTCGGTGGCCAAGTAGGCGGCTCTGATGGCCGCCGTGACAGCATCCGTCGACCCCGACGACGGTTCTGTTCCCTGCGCCTCCTCCGTCGTCGTGGCCAGCACAGCAGCGACCACGTTCTTGCCGAGGTGGTCGGAGACGAAGTCCACCGCTGCGCGGCCGCCGTGTCCGTCGTACACACCGTAGAATGCCTGCAAATGCGAAAGCATTTTGTTATTCCCTTGTTGGGCGGCGCGCGTACATCTTTATTGCCTAGGTCATGTGTGCCCTGACCGAGTCAGTTCAACAAGATAAGGGCACTTATTCCAAATCATAATTAGTGGCACGTTCAGCACATGCATAAGTCAACGCCCCCCTATACTGCTTGCACCCGTAAAAACGATCAAATTATTCCTGAAAAAAGTTCATATTTTGAGGAACTTTACCCCTTAGACAGTTTTTATGAAGGACAAATTGTGTATTTTATTTTAAATTTCTGAAAAAAACAAGCATATGTATGTTGCGGTGAGTACACAAATTTAAGTTTTCGTAAACAAGCATAACTAACCATGCATGATCTATGAAAATCAAACAACCAATGGGCTACTTTTTCACGCTAAATGATCATATGAAAACGTTGGGGTGACCCATGGCTCAATCTTAGAAATATTTAGTTAGATAGCCAATAGATCACTGTTATCTCATCTGTTTTTCTACATGCAAGTGCCCTAAAGTATGAGTTCTCATAGGTGACTTACAAATAGTTATTTCTCGTTGCCGGAGATATAGAATAACTATTTAACTTTGTATACTAGCCATGAATGGTCGTATTTTCTTAATTTATTTCGCAAAAAAAGAATGGTTGTATTTTCTTAAAAAAATATTAAGTACATCCATATAATTGAGGCCATAACTAGCATATACGATATTTATCGGATTTTGAAAAACTTTCAAAAGAGATTTTGTCCTTCCAAAACTCAGCTCATGTTAAAGTGCACCGCCTTACTATGATACAGTACTAATTTAGGAGACTTTGTGAGCCCCCAAATAATAAGGGACAAAGGCAAGCTAAGACCATATATAGTTTAGGATACATTTGAAAATCGTCATTTAGAGATGAGTAGATGACACGAAGGACATGGGAATTAAAATCGGTTTTGCTAGTATATATTTTTCAAGGAAAAATGTAGGCATGATGATGATTCACCCGAAGTCTGAAGAGAAGATATCGATCAATGAGAAAAGAATTTTACCAGCTGGGAATCTGCTCCAAGTTTCTGAGCGATCACACCATATGCATCCTCCATTGCATGCCTGGCCCCTCTCCTGCTCGCCAGCCAAAACCCTTCCCCCTCCACCTCCACCTCGGCCTCCTTCTCGGCCACAACGGTCCCCCAGCCAGCCGCCACCTCGACGGCCTCAGGGGCGACGGGTATGACCAGCATCGACGGCCTCTTCCTCGCCCCCCGCGCCGCCTTCTTCGCGGGCTCGACCTGCTGCGCGGCGCCACCGCCGCCGTTGCACGCCGCAAAGGCGTCCACCGCCGGCGCAATCAGCAGCTGCTCCCTGGCCTCCCTCTGGTCACGCTCACGCAGCGCGTCCCCTACGGCGACGCTGAGAGCCGGGTGCGCCTTCCTCCGCATGGAGAGCGGCGCGGACGACGCAGGGGAGGTCGTGGCGGGCAGGGAGACCGGCGGGGAGCAGAGGACGGATGCCATGGCCTTGCGGAGGGCGCGGGCGAGGCGGGCGAAGGCAGCGACCACGGAGCAGAGGAACTGGACGGTGTACAACAGCATCGCCGGCAGGGTGGGAGATGGACGGAGGCGGCAGAGGCAGTTGGACGGACCAGCTAGCGATGGCTAATTCTGGGAGGAGATCGATGAGAGGCTGCCACTAGCTGGCCGGAGTTAGGTTTTTATATATACAACATGGGAGAGAGAGGGTGACGAGGAGGAGGGGCAAAGAGAAGAGAAGGGGTCCTTGATGCTGACCGGTCAATGGAGTGACCAAATCACCTTGGCTAGGCTGGCCTGCCACATGCGGTTTAATACAATTCCGGCCTGGTTTTACGTGATCCCAATGGCGCATCCAGTTGTTGACTAGTGAGGAGCCGAGCGAGCCCCCCGGAGATTTGACAGCTCCGGCAATTGCTCGCTTAATTTACAAGATGAGGGCTCATTTGCTTCAAAGGAATTCTATAGAATTTCCAGAGAATTGCAATCCTATGGGAAAGGGTTTCCCCACTTTGTATTACAAAACAACCAATCGATACAGCCAACGATAGGTGTTGGGACGGAAGCAGCACAGACACGCTCAAAAGAAACGAGAGAGAAAATATAAAAGAAACAAATGCCGACAACGACGGATCGACAAAAACACGAAGAAGCCCCGCGACCATTGCGTCCACCGGAGATCTCCCACCAAGCTCCTAGACTCTGAAGCGCCGGTACTAATCAACACCTTCAAGAAGGGACGCGACGATGCTGACGCTGCTGCAAAGGGTTTCCCCCGGTACGCGACGAGGAGAGAAGAAGGGTATCCTCGGACGCCCTTCAGGAAGGTCCGGCAGCACCCTCAGGCGCCACCGCGTCGGTGTCGGCCAGGCCGACAGGGATTTCTCCCGATCCCAACCTTCACCTTGGGCGCTCCGAAGCCCGCCACCGAAACCGACAACCATCATGCACCACGCTGGTCTTGAAGCTTCTCACGCCGTCTCACCACGGCACCACGAAGAGAGGTCTGCACACCGAAGAAGAGGAGCCGGGACAGAGGCGGCAGCATCGTCAGCACACGGGAGGGCTCAACCTCCACCATCAACGACGGTAGCCGACCGGACGCAATAGTAGGAGCACACTAGGCCCGTGGGCCCACAGGCCCGGCCGGGCCACCCAAGGCCCATAAAGCTCCCGCCTTCGCGCTGCAGCAAGCACGCCGACGGCGACGCCGCCCGGGTCTGAGCTGCTCCACGTCCGCAACACGTAGAAGACAACGAAGCCACGCCGGTAGCCGACCCGCTCGGACCCAGATGAGACCCGCGGGGCTTAGATCTGGGCTGGGGCGCGCCGCCGGCCACCCCGCACAACCAAGCTGCCCCGCCGCCAAGGAGCAGCGCCTCCCTCACATCTGTCGCCGGCCACCGCCGCCGGGTTGCCGGACCGCCGCCTAGCCGAGCAACACCGCCGCCGCCCCCCGCCCCGGGCAGGGAGGACGCACGCGCGGGGAGAGAAGATCCCACCGCCGCCGACACCACCCGGGCCAGAGCCGGGGGCGCCCGCCGGCGGCGGCGGGGAGGGACGACGCGAGGTGGAGGACGAGGGAGCAGGCGCGCTGGCCGCCCTGGCCGCCTCCCGGGAAGGCAGCGCGAGGGCGGAAAGGGGGGGGAAGGGAAGAGCGGGGGGGACCCGGATCTGGTCGCGCGTTGGCTAGGCTCGCCGAATCCGGTCGGGATCGGGCGAGGGAGGTGGTGGCGGCGACGAGGGTTAGGAGCGGGGGGGCGGGCCCCACTGAATTTCTTGTTCGAGGATTGCAATCCTTAGGGATTTTTTTTATGTTGGTCCTTTTATTCAGGCCTTCTTTGGTTTATAGGATAGGAATTTCATAGAAGTAGGAAAATCATAAGAAATGGGATGCCATGTATCTCAATTTTTACAGAGAAAGACATGTCATTTGACGCATGGGATAGGAATATTTTCATTGAGTCTATGTTAATGTTTTTTTCTTTAAAATGTGAAGGATTGGTTCCTATCCTACATAGAAATGGAAATCTACTCCTACAAACCAATTCATAGGAATTTTTCATATCCTATTAATTATTTTGGTACAAACTCACTCTTCTAACATTCAAATGAACAAAAATAGTTGTAAGGGCATCTCCAACGCAAAACATCGCATGAACTTTCCTATTTGTCCATGGACGCGTCCGGGCGTCCGCGGAAACCCACAATTTGTTCGGATAATTCAACTGTTTGCCGAAAAAGGGTTTCCCCCCGCTTTGCATACAAAGCAACCAACCGAATCATACAGGGATAGGTGCTGGGGCGGAAGCAGCACAGACACGCCCAAAAGAAACGACAGAGAAAGAACAAAGAAACAAATGCCGACAACGGCGGATCAACAAAAACGAAGAAGCCTCGCGACCACTGCGCCCACCAGGATCTACCACTAGGCTCCAAGACTTCCGGAGCGCCGGCACCTATCAACACCTCCAAGAAGGATCGCGACGATGAAGACGCTACTGCCAAGGGTTTCCCCCGGTACACGACGAGGTGAGAGGAAGGGTAGCCCCCGATGCCCTCCCAGAAGGTCAGGTGGCGCCCATAGGCATCACCGCGCCGGTGTCGGACACGCCGACAGGGGTTTCCCCCGATCCCAACCTGCACCTCGGGAGCTCCGGATCCAGTCACCAGACCAACCACTACCCTACGCCAACGCGGACATGAGGTCCCCACGCCGTCTCACCACGGCACCGCAAAGTGAGGACAGCGCGGCGAAGAATCAGAGCCGGGACTAGGGCATCAGCATAGTCAGCACGCGGGAGGGCCCCACCTCCACTGTCCGCGACGGTAGCTGTCCGGACGCAATAGCAGGAGCACACCAGGCCCGTGAGCCCACAGGCCCGGCCGAGCCCTCATGGGCCCGTAAAGCTCCCGTCTTCGCGCTGCTGCCGGCACATCGTCGGCGCCGACGCCCCACATCCGAGCCGCTCCTCCTCACTGCGCCACAGACAACGAGGCCACGCCGGGGAGCCGGCCCGCTAGGACCCAGATGGGGCCCTCCGGGCCCAGATCTGGGCCGGGGTCGCGACGACGGCCACCCAGCACCACCACGCCGCCAAGGAGCGGCGCCGACACCACGCCTGCCGCCGGCCGCCGCTGCAGGGCAGCCGGACCGCAATCACGCCGAGCTGCACCGCTGTAACACCCCGGATATAACTTTCCCTATTTGTACTCCAATTCTTGCCGTTTCCGGCGTTAAGTTATATTTATTTCCTCGGGTTCGGGTTTTGTCTCCGTGTGTTGTTATCGTTGTCATGCATCTCATATCATGTCATCATGGGCATTGCATTTGCATACGTGCTCGTCTCAGGCATTCGAGCATTTTTCCCGTTGTCCGTTTTGCATTCCGGCGCTTCGTTCTCCTCCGGTGGTCATTTCTAGCCTTCTTTCATGTGTGGGGATTAAACATTTCTGGATTGGACCGAGACTTGCCAAGCGGCCTTGGTTTATTACCGGTAGACCGCCTGTCAAGTTTCGTATCATTTGGACTTCATTTGATACTCCAACGGATAACCGAGGGACCGAAAAGGCCTCGTGTGTGTTGCAGCCCAACACCCCTCCAATTTGGCCCAAAACCCACCTAACTCTGCTCCATCATCTAGATCGTTCGATCACGATTGCGTGGCCGAAAACCGCACCTCATTTGGACTCTCCTAGCTCCCTCTATGCCTATATATAGACCTCCTCCTTTAAATTCGCGGTTCCACTCTTCCCCCTAACCCTAGATCCATCCACCGCCGCCGCCGGATGTGTCCGGGACGGACCGGACGCGTCCACTCCGCCGCGCCTAGCCTCTCCCGCGCCGCCACGTGGCCACAGCCACCGTCCCCGCCGCCGCGGCCCGCCAGGCCCAGGGAGGGCCCCCGCGGCCCGAGC